TGCTCACCATTTCATATCTTAAATCCCAGGGCTCTCATGCATTCCTTGTGGGCCTCAATTAGGTGTCCACAGTGCTCTTCTCCTTTCTCAATAATGCTACAAAACAAAATGTACTTGTTATCTAACAAAGTAGCCATTAAGCATATTAGCAGTAAGTAAGCATGCATAATAGTGATGTGGAGTGAGGCAGAACATAGTCTGATGGAATGTAGCTGGAGTTCAAAAAAAATGTTCTTCTGGTTGGTCTAATAATCCAATAGGCTTGAGACATTAGCAAGAGAAAAATAATCAAATGTAATACATACAGAGGTATTGGGAACCCTGCATCCGTAAGAGCCAGAGACTCCACACGCAGGAGCAGTTGAGACAGAAAGGGAACATGGGTACAGAAGACATCCTGAGCTAGGGAGGAGGTAAGGTGCCTTGGGGGCTTTAAAAGGTCACTGCAGGATTTTAAAAGCAGATACTTAATACTTATAAGTTTGTCCTGCCCCATAAATAGGTCAAAAGAAGTTATTTCTGATCATCTCTTATAGGCAAGGCCCCTAATTCAAGTTCTTCTAGGTAGTTAAGGGGGAAGGGGAGTGTGTGTGGGGGGGAAGGCAGATTCTCTTGAGGCCACAGCTAACATGGCCTTTAGCTCAAAACAATCTGCAAATCACAGAAGCATATCTTGGGGTGACTTGTTTTGAACGCCCCGTTTCAATTCTCCCTCCACAATATTATTTGCAAAGTACTAAGGATTAACAAAAAGCACTGGGCTCCTACAGCGCTTATTGACCTCATTATGCCACTCAATATTTTCTTTGCCTTTTATGTAAGGACAAAAAAGGGGCTGAAGGGAAGTGTACATTCACATCTGAAAATTCCTAAATAAGATTTGTTCCCACAAGAGAGGCTGCATAAAATGAAACGAACAAAAGCTTTTGTAGAATGATGGTAATCTAAAGGTACTCTCCTGAACACCACAATGTCTCCGAACAGTTATAAACTGACTTAAATTATCTACCTAAGGGGGGGGGGGGGCGGAGGGACGCTTTAATACTGTTAAGAAATGTACCGTGTCCTACTATGTCTAAAATTTGGTAGGCATTACCAGAAAATTATTACTCTTTGGTTTTGCTCAATCTTTTATAATAGTCCATAGCAATTACTGGCATGTCTCCATTAACTTAAAGCTCCTTTAAATCAAGTAGCAAATTTACCCATTTCGACATCTTCCGACCTAAAGTTATGTTCAAAAACCCTTCCTAGGGGAAACTGAGTGAACGGAGGTCGGGTCAGTCGGACCTCTCTCCTAACCCTTCGCCCGTGTCCCACCCGAGCTGCGAGCTCAGTCAACAGCACAGTCCACCGCGAAGCCTACGGGGCCCAAATAACCCCAAACAGCGCCGCTCCGCTAAGCGAGGGCCAGGACCCGCCCCAGGCGGTGCAGGGGGAAACGCCGCCGGAAGGAGGCGCAGCGCCCCCCGGCCGCCCCGCCCCGCCCCGGGCCGCGCACTGACCACGCATCGCGCGCCTTCTTGGTCTCTGGACAGGCGCAGCAGGGCTTCAGTGGTTTCTTCTCCTGCGTCTCAGAAGGGGCAGGGCTTGCGGCCGCCAGACCCGGCATCTTGCAAGATGAAAGTAACTACTAGTACAGGCACTCTCAACGCTCCCAACCTCCGCAAACGCCGGTTCGCTCGCAGTCGCTTCCGGCATCCGGTCCAGAAAGACCGGAAGTCCTGCCTCTCTCAGACGGTTGGGCGCGGGAGAGGGAGGATCAAAAGGACGCATGCGCAGAAGTGACTAAATGACGTCACCAGGACACCTCTTTGGCGCAGGCGCAGAGAGGCGAGGTGAAAGGGCGCGCAGAGTTTACAATTCACAAAGGTCGAGGATGAGGAAATCAGACATCGCTCAAGCCCTCCACCTACCGCGAATGTCGAGAACTGAAGCCCTGGAAAGTGAAACGTCTTGTCCGTGATGAACGAGAGAGCACACTATTGAAAGCCGGCCCCCTTGGAGTTAGAGCTTAGTTCTCTGTATTTCAGGGTGGGCACTGCCTTCTTCCTGACCCTCTCCCCAGTTTTTCATTGACCTAGATAAAGACACTGAACAACGACATTCCACAGTATTGAAAAACATTTTCCCTACCACCAATACCTCACCCCATACACTTTAAATCCGCAGTTAATTGATGTGTATAGCTCCCTCCTACTAATTTGATTTCAGTATGAATTGTTCAATCAGGACAAGTACAGTATATTGTTTAATAAAATTGCAAAATGCCTTCCTTTGACATTTCTTGAATTCAGTTAGGTATATAAGCAAACTGTTGTCCTATGTTATTTGCAATACAATGTGCACACCTATTGTGGGTTTTTTTTTTACTGAGAATTATTGGGCAAAGGGACTGAACTATTTTTTAAAGCAGGACTTTGTGGCATTATTCAAATAACTACCTGACGATAGATATTTGGGGTAATCAAAATTTCAATATCACCTAACTAAAGTTTGTTTCTGTATTTCAGAGATTTAGTTCAGGGAACCCAGGTGGTCAGGTGCTGAATGGAATTAGGTTCTATATTCATATTTTCCAAGTTACTAAAACCATTCCCATTTTGTCCTCTAAAAACTTCTAATAAGCATGATTTTTACTTCACTATGGGATTGGTATGTTTAATAATAGAACACATTGCTCTTATGTCCTCCTAAAAGTACCCTTATCTACTATTATCAGTTCTTTCAACTAGGTGTTCACTCCTGTTGTTTAGTATCTTACCACTCAAATGGTATTTCTTGAACTATCAACATCAACATCTCTTGGAAACATAATATACAATGACACAGTTCAACAGATCATTAGGGAAAAGAAAATTAATTGGAAAAAATTAAACACCACATCAAAAGGAGGGGCACTGGACGCATTAAAGGTCCACATGTGAGAGGTCAAACTAAGAAACTGATAGACGATAGTGGAAGAGATTATCTTTACACCCAGGAGGAAGGAACAACCTATTTGAAAAACACAAATTGCAAGTAAATAAATTGATAAAGTTAATTGCATCAAAATAAAAAAGGAAGCCATTACAGTGATTGGTCTAACCAAAATCTAAGTCTATAAATGCCTCCAGGTTACAAAATCAAACTCATTTCTCTGAAATTTGTTAATTAAAGTGAATGAATCCAGCATTTTTCCAGTCTTTCCTCTAAGATCCCTATATTTTAGGATAACCAGTGAGTTGGTGAGAGAAAGTTCTTTTTATAAAAGAATCCCAGGTAATAAAGAAAATGATTCAAAGTGTTAGAATCACTGTTCTAGGATGAAAGACTTAAGAGGCATACCAAAATGCAATGCGAAGACTTATCTTTTGATCAGAACAAACCAACCATTAAATGACATCTTGGACACAACCAGGGAAATTTGACTAGGAACTGAGTATTAGATGATATGACGGAATTATTAATTTTGTTAGATTGGTGGTTAAGTTTTTTTTTTTTAAAAATCCGTATCAGTTTGAGATGCAGATTAATTTAAGGGTAAAATAATGTCTGGGCTTTGTTTTTAAATACTCAAGCAAAAAGAGGGGAGGGAATAGATGAAATGAAGTTGGCAAAATGTTGGTAATTGTTGATTCCTGGTGATAGGTACATGAGGGATCATTATTAAAAGTGGATTCACTTTTGCCTATGTTAAAAAAATTTCCCCTAACTAATAGTTTCAAAAAGCAGAGGAAGTGCCAACAGTACGTGATCTCTGTGGAGTTAATGCCCAGGGTCAGTAAGCGGCAGCAGCGTGCGGTTGAACAGTCACTACAGTACAGAGCCCTCGGACGCTGTGGCCCTGGGACCAGAGCTCGAAGCGCCAAGGCTCTGCGTTCAGGAGCTGGATCCCTCAGCTCGCAGAAGCGGCCCCGCGAAAAGGGGATGTCCGAAATGAGAGACAACCACTCAAGAAGGTTCTGAAATTTCCCAGGGATTTCCGAAGGAGGTTACAAATCGCTGCTGGATTTGAGCAGCAGCCTTTTCCGCAGCCTCTGGCCCTGCGGCGTTGAACGGAATAATACAGGACACACCCTTACATTTGAATTTGAGGTAAGCTCGAGGCTCCACCTCGGGAATGTAGTGG